ACATAATAAATTCATAAACAATTTGAAAACCATTGTATCAATTATATCACAATCGCTAAGAATTTATTTTTCTTAGAAAATCATTTTCATTCTTGAAACTCAAATCCTTTGATAAAGCATTTTAGAGATATCATTTCAATATACAGAAATAATCCTTTTTGTAGAAATCATGCTAGCTTTACATATCAAAGTAATTCGAAAGTGGTGTATCTGTGGAGTTTTCAAGTGTTCCAATCAAACAACAATCATCACAATCATTTCCTCCAAATAAAAATCTAGTAATAATCATTCTAGATAATTTTGAAACTACTCACTTTTAGCTAAACTAACTTTCTAGCTAAAACCCATGCTTAGAAACCCATAAATATTTCATCCTTACCTTAGGTGAGCTTTGATGATAATGAAAATCACAAAATCTTTGAGCTTTAGTGTTCAACAAAAAATCTGGGCATAAAAATAATATTTTTAGTGTTGGAAAATCCATAAATCAAGATTTAAAATTTGAAAGATGTCACCCTTGTTTGAAAAACACAAAACCAAGCTTTCAATCTTCCAAAATGATGATTTTGGGTGAAAATGGGTTTGAGAGAGCTTAGAGTTGCTGAAAAACTAATAAGAGACAACTTAGAATGAAAAACCCTTGGAGTTGGGGTCATATTTATACTGTGGGATATGAAAACACCTTTTTACCCCTTTTATTGTTTCAAAAATTGGCAAAATGTATCGATATTTTTGGTTTTGAAAAATTTGTATCAATACATTATGAACATTATGAACATTATGAACATTATGAACATGTATCTATAAATGTTCATCAGAAACCCTTTTTGGGCTAAATATATTGATACTTCATGCAGATGTTGATAACTCTATTATATAGAGTTATTTTGACTCATTTTGAGAGTTTAAGTAGCTAGATCTTTGAGATTTTAGGTTCGAATTTTAGCATTTTAGGTGTTTTTTTTAGTTTAAGTTTGATTACTTGTTAAGTGATTAATTTAAGTTATTTTAGTTAAATTTTAGGTTATTTTATTTTAAATTACTTTAAAAGTAGTTATTGCTAATTTCTCTTATGGCTTTTGTAGGAAATTGATGAAAAAGACTCATTTGATGAAAATCAGTGCAAGTATGGTAATAGCTTCATTCGTATATGTTTCAGTATTTTGACCATATCTCTTTCTAAAAAACTCCAAATGAGCTGATTCTTAGACCAATCGAATTATAAGAAGAAGGGATACAATGTTTATGTTTACCAATTTGCCCAGTTCTGATTGGATCATGGTCAAAATATTTGTCAAAGTCGGACCACTGCAGCAGTATGTAAAGACTGAATATGATGCGGTATTTGGAGCAAATCTTTCAATCCAGAAGTCCAATTGATGTGATTCTTAATCCATTGGAAAGTTAAGAGACAGGGATAAAACTTTTATGTTTACTACTTTCCCCAGTTCCTAACATATCAGGGTGAAACTCACATTTGAAGTTGATAGACTGCCACAACGCTGGGAGAATAAGGCAGGAGCGTTGATGAAAGGAAGCACACATACAAATTTCCAGAGGGCTCAGCGCTGCAGGCGCTGGAGAGTAACGCGGAGCGCTGCGCGACTTTCCAAAAAATAAAAGAAGTTAACGGGATTTCGGAAATTAGGTTATTTGGACCCTATTTAAGGAGCCTTTTTCAGAGATTTTGAAGAGGAGGCAGCAAGCAACTAT